AATATGTATGGATAGAAAAACTCTCATGGACTGATTGTTAGTGCCGTAGATATTGGTATTCTGTTATAAATTTAGATATGCAGATTAACAGGAATATGAATAGATATAGCTTCATATTGATGGATGTAAATGACTAACACTGAAAGCAGTACAGATAATCACTTAAAACGACAAGTTGCTTGTTAATGAGAAAACGTGAATATGTAATCTTATGCTTAATGATATTTGTTATATATTTTGTATGTTGGTATGAATGTAATTAACGTCTTCTTTTCTTTAAAAAAAGGAAATCTGTCTGTTTGTCTGCTTGTTACTCAATCTCTCTCTCTCTCTCTCTCTCTCTCTCTCTCTCTCTCTCTCTCTCTCTCTCTCTCTCTCTCTCTCTCTCTCTCTCTCTCTCTCTCTCTCTCTCTCTCTCTCTCTCTCTCTCTCTCTCTCTCTCTCTCTCTCTCTCTCTCTCTCTCTCTCTCTCTCTCTCTCTCTCTCTCTCTCTCTCCTTCCCTCCCTCCCACCCTACTTCCCTCCCTCCCTTTCTTCCTCCCCCCCTCCCTCACCCCCCCCCCCCCCCCTCTCTCTCTCTCTCTCTCTCTCTCTCTCTCTCTCTCTCTCTCTCTCTCTCTCTCTCTCTCTCTCTCTCTCTCTCTCTCTCTACCTCTCTTCCTCTCTTCATTTACCATCTCTCTCTCCCACTCCAACTCAGGTGACTTAATGGACGAGGCTGGAGTCCTGGAGTTCCTGACGAGCCTCGAGGCCATGGAACTTCCTGACCAGATCGAGGAAGTCAACGCCAAGATCCTTGACAAAATCGTCGAGGAGCAGGAGTTCGTAGCTGTTCTCTTCTGTAAGTTTATTGTTATTTTTACATTATTTTTTAAAAAGTTTTCTTCCGCTTTTTTCGGTGTTTTTGTTTTCTTGTTTTTTTTTCTTCTTCCGAGGAACCATGCAGATTTTCCATCTCCCAACTTTCCTTCCCTCCTTTTAAAAGGAAAAAAAAGAAAGCTTTATTTTAGTGCGCACTGTAAAACATGCTTTTTATTTCCTTTTTTCTTATTATTTTCATTTTCTTTTTCTACAGAAATTAAATCTTCGACGGTCTTCATAAGAGTCGAAGTATTTCTGTTATTTTTTTTCTTTTTTATATTTCTGCTCCCCACTTTTTCTTAGACCCTGTTTTCGATTTTTTTTTCATTTTAGTTTTGAATCCAAAAGATCGCCACAGAATTCTAAATCAAAAATATTTTTTGCGCCTGTATCCCCCGTTTTAATCGGGTATCTAAATAATCTCCTTTTATCCACGAACAACACTTTTAATTTACCAACTAACCAGCCAAAATAAAAAGAAAAGAAAAGAAAAATAAACAGTTTCTCGGTATTCGGTATTCTCAAGCCATCAAGAGTCCTTTATCATCAAGATCTCTTAAGAAGAGTGTGGATGCATGTCTTTCTCTCTCTCCCTCTCGAGCTCACCACAACGCTCCCGAGGTACAGTAATCGTGTTTTTTTTTTGTCGTTACTCTACAATATTCCTTTGCGGAAATGTAAGTAAGATTAGGGACATCTTTAACCCTTGGATTAAAGCAAGATCCCCAAGAGATGTATCTGTTCTCGTCGCCCTTGTAACTGCAACCCCGGAAATAACACGTTAACTGGCGTCCCTTCGGTTTGTTCTTGTGATGGTTGGGTGACATGCATTACCAGTCCTATGTCTGTGGCGATGTGGATCCTCCCTCTCGCTCTCTCTCTCTCTTTCTCTCTGAGTTACGCCTTGTCTCCGTTTATTCTTCTTTTCCTTTCTTTTTCGTTCGCAGCATGTTTTCTTAATTCTCTGCATGTGTCCCGCTACTTGGTAAAAAAAAAATGTTTTTCTTAAATTTTAATATTAATTCTGTGCCGAGACTCTTGTTAAGTGACTGTCATCTAATAATACAATTAATATATTTTGTGAGTAAAATTAGTGAAATTTTCACTTTTTTTTTAATCTGAATAATTAGTACTCTTAAAGTCATGGCTAAAATTTCTATGCCTATGTTTTGTACGCTTAAATGTCTACATGGTATTAATTTATTCGATGTCATTGTTATTAGTTATTTGTGTATATATTCAGCTGCCTGTATTTATTCACAAGACATACTCAGTGCAGCTTTTATGTGACTTAGAAGATCGTGATAGACGTACAGTATAGATAAAGGCTAAGTGACTGACATTTCCTCTACATATGTGCATTGGCGTAACTAACCCAGAAATGATATTCCCTACTACCCCCCCCCCCCGACCCTTGCAGCCCCCCCCCCATGCTTGTTTTGGCAACTGTGAGAAACCACAAAAGTTCGCAGCTCTTCCCCATTTTTTTTTTCTTCGATCTTCCTTTCATTTTTTTTCTCTAATGTTTTTTTTTTCTTTTTTTCCAACTCCTTCCTTTATCTCTCCTACTAAGGGCTTCCTGCTCCCGCCACCACTTTTATCTGTTAAGCCTTGATTCTTGATTGTGAGTTACTTCCAT